TTGAAATGAATAGTCTAGGGAACATACTGTATTAATGTACTCTACTGCATATAATTTGTGAATATTTACATGATTTGTACACTTTGAACCCCCTTTCAGGCTGAAAGGGACTGAAAAAATTCACACCGAGAGATTCTTTAAATTCCCCTCTAATATATATTCTATTCTTTATGGTTCCATATCATATGAGTCTATCTCCAAGCTTTAACACCAAAATAAACACATAATACTCGAAAAATCTAACATTTTCTGCAAAAAAAAATTATATAAGCATTCTTCAATTTTACGAAATGATATATTCTTCTTAAAATTTCTTATTAGTCCCAAAAAAAACATAATTTAGACTAACTGACGATCTAATATAATATGGGACACCCTGTATAAAATGAAATGGTCTGTGTATAAGTACACTACACAATCATGTTCTTTGGACTATTTAAAAGCAAAACTTGAGTCGTCTTCTTATTCCACAGTTTTTTAGGTCCCACTGTGCTGCATTATATTGTAGATTAAAGGGACTGTTTAGGTCCCACTGTGCTGCATTATATTGTAGATTAAAGGGACTGTGCTGCATTATATTGTAGATTAAAGGGACTGTCCGGTTGATAGAGTTGCAAGTTGGGTTTCAAGCGAACAAAAACTTTCGCGAAAAAATGAGAAAATTTTCGTTCGATTTCAAAATCTTTTTTTGCGTAAATGAATAAAGCAAAAATTGCAAAATCGATGCTACATTTCGCAAAAATTGTTTTCGCAATATTTCGCGAAAAATAATTTCGCGGAAAAAAATAAGTTTTGTAGGTGCAATAATTAATTGCGCAATAGATGTTTTATTTTGGTCATAATTTATAATCCCTCGTTCGTATTTTTTTCACAAAATTGTCGATTTTTCTTCCCCCGAAATTTCCGTTTTTTTGCGAAAATTTTGCATTTCTTTTTTCGCAAAAATTTCGCATTTTTTCTCGAAACAGATCAGAGAGAAATTTCGCGAAAAAACTTTCCCAAAATTTCTCGTTTCTCACGAACGAACGATAAGCGAAAAATGCAAAATTTTCAGCGAGAAAATTTTTTCCCTTTTTGCTGGAAACCCTAGTTGGACGTCAGATACACAATAAGTATAAATGAAATATGCATACGATTATTTTTAATTTTGGCCTTTATGCAAAGTTGAATTTCCCTCACTTGCTTCAAAAACAACAGAGAAACTATCAGAATTAAACACTTTTGTAGCTACTTTATCTTTCACGTTATTGATCAGATTAACGTATGGTTGGCATGCCCCCCTCTAAATGGAGGATCACTATAACAGTGTTCTTTTTAATGTTATGTTGCGGATATCCCCCCTCCCCCCCCTCCGTAATCCACCTAATCTAGAGATAAGTTTAGAGAAAACAATATTAATGGAGAACTTGTAAATAATTAATATTCATTAATATATATTTGTTGTATGATAGTAGATTGTAGATTGAAAATTCTTCACATTCTGCGCAATACAATTTTTATACACATGGTTTCCCTGTAGAAATTGGAACAAAGAGACGTATTATAAAACGTTTGCAAGCTCTGAAAATGATTGATAAAATAACGATTCAAAACGAGGTAGCATGGGTCTCATAGGCTTTCCATATTTGGTGCACACTGTAACAAAAAAAAAGACTTTTTATTCAGACATGGTATTTTATCTCTGTACTCTGTACAATAGGAGGTTCTGACCTTTTCTCTGTACTATGTACAGTAGGAGGTCCTGACATCTTCTCTACATTCTGTACAATAGGAGGTTCTGACCTCTTCTCTATACTCTGTACAGTAGGAGGTCCTGACCTCTTCTCTATATTCTTAGGAGGTCCTGACCTCTTCTCTTTATTCTGTACAGTAGGAGGTTCTGACCTCTTCTCTATATTCTGTACAGTAGGAGGTTCTGACCTCTTCTCTACATCCTGTACAATAGGAGGTTCTGACCTCTTCTCTACATTCTGTACAATAGGAGGTTCTGACCTCTTCTCTATTATCTGCACAGTAGGAGGTTCTGACCTCTTCTCTATATTCTGTACAATAGGAGGTTCTGACCTCTTCTCTATACTCTGTACAGTATAAGGAGGTCCTGGCCTCTTCTCTAGATTCTTTACAGTAGGAGGTTCTTACCTCTTCTCTATACTCTGTACAGTATAAGGAGGTCCTGGCCTCTTCTCTATATTTTGTACAGTAGGAGGTTCTGACCTCTTCTCTATACTCTGTACAGTATAAGGAGGTTCTGACCTCTTCTCTATATTCTTTACAGTAGGAGGTTCTGACCTCTTCTCTATATTCTGTACAATAGAAGGTTCTGACCTCTTCTCTATATTCTTTACAGTAGGAGGTCCTGACCTCTTCTCTATATTCTGTACAGTAGGAGGTTCTGACCCCTTCTCTATACTCTGTACAGTAGGAGGTCCTGACCTCTTCTCTACATTCTGTACAGTAGGAGGTTCTGACTTCTTCTCTATATTCTGCACAGTAGGAGGTTCTGACCTCTTCTCTATATTCTGTACAGTAGGAGGTCCTGACCTCTTCTCTATACTCTGTACAGTATAAGGAGGTCCTGGCCTCTTCTCTATATTCTTTACAGTAGGAGGTTCTGACCTCTTCTCTTTATTCTGTACAGTAGGAGGTTCTGACCTATTCTCTATATTCTGTACAGTAGGAGGTTCTGACCTCTTCTCTATACTCTGTACAGTAGGAGGTCCTGACCTCTTCACTATACTCTGTACAGTAGGAGGTCCTGACCTCTTCTCTATACTCTGTACCGTAGGAGGTCCTGACCTCTTCTCTATACCCTGTAAAGTATCTCTTCATTGCAAAAGCCCCTGCCACTTTGACTTCTTCTATTTGAATCTATATATGAATTTGGCTTGTCTGTCTGGGTGTTTGGGTGTTTGTCTGTCTGTTTGTATCCAATAAACGTCAAAACGGCTGAACCGATCGGGCCCAAATTTTTTGTGGGACATCACGTGACCACAGGGAAGGTTTATGAATGATCAAAATTTCAAATATTTGTCTCCATCAAAATTCTATCTTCATTAAATTTTTGAAAATTTTGAAAATCCACAAAATTTTTTGTGAAAATCCGCTAATTATTTTTGTTTTGTTTTACGATGTACACAAAGAGAACATGTTCACAATTAATTTAGAAGATGGGCGCAAAGCGCCCTCTAAGGCTAGTCTATATATATATATTTGGCTTGTCTGTCTGGGTGTCTGTTTGTTCGTTTGGATCCAATAAACGTCAAAACGGCTGAACGGATCGGGCCCAAATTTTTTGTGTGACATCACGTGACCACAGGGAAGGTTTATGAATGATAAAAATTATAAAAAATGTGTTTTAAAGGTTTTTGATTTTGTAAAAAAATTTAAATTCTTGAAAATCCGCGAATTTTTTTTTTAAATCCGCAAAAATTTTTTCTTCTTTCTTTTAAAATGTAAACAAAAAGAACCAGTTCACAATTTAAATAGAAGATGGGCGCGAAGCGTCCTAAAAGCCTAGTTATTATAAAGTTGTATAAATGTATGGAGTATACTTTTGGGTAATTTGCTTTAATCACGAGAGATTATGCAATAATGCTTTAATTTGCTAAATTGTTTGCAGCATCAACACGGATTCAAAATACAAATTCAGATTTTCTGATTTGTATTCGCATTTGGATTTTATAATTATTGAAATACGGGGTTTACACAAAAAGAATGATGAGTTTCAGGTCGTCATTGAAAATCAAATCCTGTGTGCCNAAGGAACCCGGAGGACATGTTAGTCATTTTATAAGGAACCCCCGAAATTGGTTTATCCTCTGCATCAATACACATTGAAAATACAAAATCGAATTTCAGGGTTCATCTGAATATAACCCATAAAGGATGAAAACGCGTACTTCCTTCTCACGTTCATTGTTTTGTGCAGATAAATACTTTTAAATGATCTAACTAATTCGTTTATTAAAACTTTATAAAAAGGGAGTGACCGGCTATGTCAGGTAGTTGAACTGAGTATGCAGTGTTGTGGAAAACTTCTTTCGGATTCATTTGGGACATATTACACTTTTTAAAGATCTGTAAATCCTGAGTTTGAGCGCAAATTCGAAGTTCAAAACTCCTACTTTCGGGGTGCATACGTTTTCAGAACTACCTTACATAGCCGGACACTCCATTTAAGGCAATATCTGAAAATCTTCAAAAAGTATTGGATGAGTTTCATGTCGATATTGAAGTCTCATTCTGTGTTGTAGACTCTGTATCCCCCATCCCCCCGAAATTACTCCATATGTGACGTGTCTATTATTATGGTTTAATATTGTAGTTTACTTATTTATAATAAAGATTATATCTAATATAAATATATTGTCATAAGACTGCTCTGTAGATTCACCGTTAGCTTACCACAAAGATTTAGGAACATTTTTAAGTCTGGTTTGTCTTTGAAGTCTTGCAACGTTTTTGCCTTCAGTTTTACATTACTAACTTTATATTACTTTTTTGTTGCCATAGACATGTACATTTTAGATAACAAACAAGTTTGTTTTTAATCTTTGTGACAGAAACAATCTCAAGAACTGACGAGGGTCAACCCAGACCGAAATATATTTTCAATAAATGTGGAACTAACATCTACTTTTTTTACTATACAGAGGTTTGGTCCATCACCATCACCGAATTTTAAAACAAAAAAAGCTTATTTAAACCTTCACGTTTAAAGAATAAATTGTCAAAACTCTAATAGATTTAGTGACATGTGAGAGTTTGTTTGCATATACACATGTTTGATCCCTGAAGTCCGTGTACCGTTTTCATCTATCTGAGCTTAGCTCCGGGTCTGTATTAACTAAAGGGGTTACATCAATGGACCTATCCTTATTCCGAGCTATTGAGCTCATCTAATTACATCATATTAAACTCATAGTTTACACATTTCCTGTAAAAAACTTATCTGAAACCCTTAGGTTAGATATTTCCTGAAGGAATAATAAGTTGGTTGAATTCAGGATAGTCCTCAATGTGTTGGGTTTGGACTGTTTATGATCTGGTTTGCAAGCGTGACGGTTAATCTTGGACCAACATTTCTCAGGTCAGTAATATTCAAAATTTGGTTATATCTGGTTAGATCTGGTCAAATCTGGTCAAATCTGGTCAAATCTGGGTAAACCTGGTTAGATCTGGTTATATCTGGTTAAATCTGGGTTGCTAGCACCACTGTTGATCTTGGACCAACATTTCTCAGTCAGTTCTATTCTAAATATGGTTAAATCTGGTTTGATCTGGTCAAATCTGGTCAAATCAGGTTAAACCTGGTTAGATCTGGTTATATCTGGTTAAATCTTGGTTGTGGTGCCACTGCAGATCTTGGACCTACATTTCTCAGGTCAGTTATATTCAAAATCTGGTTAAATCTGGTTTGATCTGGTCAATTCTGGTCAAATCAGGGTAAACCTGGTTAGATCTGGTTAAATCTTGGTTGTGGTGCCACTTTAGATCTTGGACCTACATTTCTCAGGTCAGTTATATTCTAAATTTGGCGATATCTGGTTAAATTCTAGTAATCATGTTGAAACTGGTTAAATTTGTTAAAGGCTAGTTTTATCTGGCTATGTCTGGTTAAATTCGGATAAATCTAATTATATGTGTTTTTCATTAAGTCTGGCTAAATTTGGTTTAATCTGCAGTGAAGTTTAAATTTAGTGAAATTCAATTAAATCTGGTGAAATCCAGTTAAATCTGGTGAAATCTAGCTAAAATCTAGTAAAATTCAGTTAAATCTGATGAAATCAAGTAAAGTGTGGTGAAATCTAGCTAAATCTAGTTTGATCTGGTTAAATCTGGTTAAATTTAGTTAAATTAGTTAAAAATTTAGTTTAACTTTGATTAAATATTGTTAATTCTGTTTGAATACTTCGGTTAAATCTTGTTGAATCTAGTTAAATCTGGTTAAATCAAGTTAAATATGTTAACTCTAGTTAATCTAGTTAAATCTAGTTAAGTATAGGTTAAATATGGTTAAATCTAGCTAAATATCAAATTTCAAAAGTTCCTTAATGAAAATTTTAAGAATGATTTACAGTAAGAGTAAGAGTGTCAAAGTCAAAGTTACTTTAAAAGGACCGTTCACTTATTTGGATATTTTCAAGGTCAGCAATTTGACTTTTGTTTGTTTAAAACGTCGTCAGAAATCGTGAACTTCCCCTTTAAACAATATTTTTGCATAGTGGAGCTCTAGCAGCAAACAACGAGGCCCTTGTAGATGGTCCTTCATGCCCTCTTGTACAGGTACAAAATACATACAGGGTCCATACCGCCACTATGTACTTTTCTATGTACTAATACAGGGTCCCTACCGCCACTATGTACTGAATGCTATCTGGATTTTGATAAATGTTCTCTGCGTTATGTTGACAATCTTCCATCTTCACAAACTCTATCAGGTATAATCCCCTCCTATTAACATCAAATCCTTTTTAAATCAGTCAGTTCAAAACTTAACAGATATCTAATTAATTTCATGGGTTTCCCTTGTTAAGTATTTTAAAGTTATTTACAAATAAATGAGAAAAATTGCAATCACAATAGTTTTAACAATATAAAAAGGAAAATGGAGGAGAAACATAGAAAAGGAGAAATTAATTAGATATTTAATAAGGTTCTCTAGGAATACCGAGCATCTGGAAATTAAGTAATTTAATTAACTAATCAGAGATATCAAACCTTTTATGTTGTTGATCCGTGAATCTAGTTATTAAATAAATCAATTATTGTAGTTGCTAAATATGGTGGGAAAATAACGACACTGTTATAAACTGGTTTTTGATCAGTTATAGGATAGGATGCTCTCCTGCTAAAATAAAGCTAAAATTGTGATTTTGTAACGCATCTCATTTGTATGAAAAATACCACATATTTTGAAACAAAATTTGTTAGAATGTCATTAAATATAGTTTTGTTAGAGTCTAAAGCAGAATGTTAGGCCAGTAACGATGAGCAAGGCCCGAAAAAACCTTGGTTTTAAGTAGCCAAATCTTTTAAAACCAATTACATTACAATCTGTTTTAAGATAAAGTTTATCTAAAAAGATAATAAAGTTATGCATTTCTAACGGCACATTACCTAAAAAACGCAAGTTTTTGGTGGTGGAAATGCTTAAAAAGTCCTTAAATCTTTTTAAATTATAGAAAAGACGACATTCTATGGCTTCTTATTGAACCCAATTGAGGCGTCTGGTGCCTACTGCCTACTCTTTATATTACAAAGCTCTTTGGATTAACTTAACATCCTGTTGTGGTTCTTGAATGGAAAAACTATTAATTGATTAATTCCACTTATTCCTTCAATTAAAAAGTTGTCACAGGTTTTATATTAAGATAAAGCGCGCGTTGTAAATTAGCGCTATACTTACAAAAATGTTAAAGTTTTGATCTCAGGAGGGACATGGAGACTTCTAATCTTCTAAAAAGTTCTAAGTATACTCCAATATATAAATTTATTGTTTTCTAAAAACAATGGTGGTATCTCTCCATGGCTGGCCATGAGAAAAATTATATTTCCTTCATTCCCTGAATCTAAAATAAAAATCTTCAGTTGGGCGGGACTGGGGACTTTTGACGAAACTGGGGCACTTAAAGGAACTTTTGACGAAATTTCAAGTGACCCTCACTTTATAAAGTACCATGTCCGATTCACAACGGTACCATGAAATTGAGCATCAATGAGGAAGATATTGCTGTTTTTTATCCGAAAAATGTTTAATTTTAACAATTTTCCTTTCTTTCTATTGCTGCATATAAACGCACGAGTCACTGTTATAGAGAACTGCATTTGCCAGTAATTATTTTAAGTAGAAAAAGTGGGATAACTCGATCATTTATGATCAGAAGAATTTGAACAATTCGCGAACAAGGTCGCAAAGTAATTCCGCTTAAAAGATCTTTTTTTCTAATTGTTGAGATTCCGTCAATCATACATGCTTATTTGATCAGACATTTCATTAAAGATTTTATTGATTTTTTACAGTTTATCTGAAAACATACATGTTCAGGATCTGAATCATACAAGCAGTGAAGCTCAGAGAGTAGCAAACCTGTTCCTGGAGGAACCTGGAGTACAGGTTAATTATAATACAGGGAACCTGGAGTACAGGTTACTTATTATACAAGGAACCTAAAGTACAGGTTAGTCATAATACAAGGAACAAGGAGTACAGGTTAGTCATTATACAAGGAACCAGGAGTACAGGTTGCTCATTATACAAGGAACCCGGAGGACATGTTAGTCATTTTATAAGGAACCTGGAGTACAGGTTAGACATTATCCAAGGAACCTGGAGTATAGGATAGTAATTATACAAGGAATCATGAGTACAGGTTACAAGGAACCTGGAGTACAGGTTAGTCATCATACAAGGAACCAGGAGTGCAGATTAGTTATTATACAAGGAACCAAAAGTAAAGGTTAGTCTTTATACAAGGAACTTGGAGTACAGGTTATCTATTATACAAGGAACCTGGATTAAAAGCTAATTATTATATAAGGAACCTGGAGTACATGTTAGTCATTATACAAGGAACCAGGAGTACATGTTAGTCATTATACAAGGAACTAGGAGTATAGGTTAGTCATTATACAAGGAACCAGGAGTACATGTTAGTCATTATACAAGGAACTAGGAGTATAGGTTAGTCATTATACAAGGGGTAAACAGTAAAATTAAATAGTTCTAAATATTCTCCTAAAAGTGTTTTGACGATTTTAGAGTCGTCGTCCAGTATTTTCTTTTTTGTTCATTTTTTAATTTTTAGGAACTAGACACCCTCTCTCTTAATCAACAATCAATCAAGATCAAATCCTACATCACCAGGAATCAATATATCAATCAATTTTTATAATTTAGAAAAAGAAATGAACTTTTTTTGAACAAACTCAAATTTCTCTAATTTCTTTTTCTTTGCAACCTGTTTTTTGATTTTTGAAACTTGGATAATTTGATCTTTCATAGTTCATAGTTTGAAACATCAACTATCTACAACATCATGGGTTCCAAAGATATATCTGGGGATTGGAAAATTTAAGTTTATGGCAAAAACTCAGTTCCTTTTTTTACGCTTTTAATATGAACCTTGAGTAAAACATGTCCCACTCCTGTCTGAAAAAGAATAAACTTTCCGAATTCAGAATTTGAAAAACAAATCCCGAGCGGAAAAAAAACATGATTTTCTAAAATATTGAATATAAATTATCCCCCCCCCCCCTGTTTTTGTTCTTTTTGAACCAATCCCCTTCTTAACCTATTAACCCTACTTCCCCTCCTAATCCAATCCAAGCTCTACCCCTCTCCCCTCTGTAAAAATTCCTCTACGTCTTCCAGAAAAAAAGCCCAGTCCACCCACCCCACTCTAAGTCTACTGTATTGTGTTTATGCATTCACTCGTACCGTCCAGTCTGGATTACCGAGCGTTATATGCAACAAAGGAAGCATGGCAAGATCACAGTGTACCATTCCTTTTTAACCCTCCCCCCATCTTGATCCTGAAATTGATAAAGTTGATAAATATACTGTAGGCTAGAAGAGGAAGGAATAAGCCGAGTGAAAATGTTTATTATTATTATCACAGGTTAGTTTAAACAAATGTACACAGTGTCTCTACAAAACTTATTTGATTTTCGTTTAAAGGGACTGTGAGCGTAGGAAATGGGAATGTCCGATTATAACGGTACCCGGCCTTTAAACCTTTGATTGATAAACAATGCCAGAGAACTCCGTTAGCTTACAGTGTGAACTCAACGCAGCTGAAATGACACATATTACTCGAAACCCCAGAATATTCTGTACGTCCTACGCGGTTTTTTTAAATATTCATTTTCTGCAACTTCTAGAATAAAGAAGAGTACAAGATAAGTCTGGTAACCCTGTTTATTTGGTCATATTATCTATAAATTATAGCATATCTGGTATTCTGGGGACCCCTATTTCTGGTAACCCTGTCCAGCTGGTCATATTATCATTATATTGTAGCATATCTGGTATTCTGGGGACCCCTGTTTCTGGTAACCCTGTTCAGCTGGTCTACGGAGTGGAAAGCTATGAAGAACTCAATGGCCCATGAGGTATATATATATTTGCAACCTGATGGGTTAACTTTCATCGATAGATAGACAAACTTTGTATCTTTGCAACCTGTTGGTGTAAATTTATGAAATTTTAAACTGCAGTGGCTATTCAATTTTTTTGATAACCTTGTGATAAATGTGAAAAAAAGTTGACAAAAAAATAGTTGAGACCCTTACAAATTTCTTTCATTTATTTTAAAATACAAATAAATAGTGCTTAATAATATAACCTCTGTCATAAAACAACAAATTTACAATCTTCCAGAATTGAATTATTATACAATTTTCAAAAAGGAAAATTTTAAATCTATAATTTCTTTGAAAAAAGAAAGAAATTAAGGAATCAAGAAGAAGTATATAAATTCTTTATTAATACAAGAAATAATTGAAAAATTGAGAAATTAGAAGTTTATGTATAAATATTTTAGTTAATTACAAATTCCTATTGTCAATGTGATTATTTTTCTAAATAGAAATGAAAGAACAACAATTACAACTTCCAAAATCATGAAAGGGACTTTAAAGGGAGTGTTCACGAAAAATGAAAGTGGGTATGGACCTGCGCGACGGCGATAAATAAGCGCTTTTGATCGCTACCAATATTATTCCTATCTGTTGCGTCTATCAGAGGAAAATTGTTAAAAACGACTCATACCAATGAACGTAGCGTCCATACAAATTCAGAAAGTTGCAACATTCAACTCTCATCGTAAAGAATTAATTTAATTCCAAACAAATCATTCAGATATTACAACCAATAGTCATTGATTATTTTTCGGCGCATTCATATATAGTTGATATTTCATAACGTTTTTATTTTTATTTTTTTGATCTGATAGTTACTTTTGAAAAAACATTTATTCCTGATTTGAGTATTTTTGATAATGAAGACGACATTTTCATATTTTCCAAGGAATGATCGAAAATCCTGCGCAAGCGAAATATTTAAACAAAAAAATCAAACATACTATGAAATATTAACTATATACAAATGCGTCGAAAAATAATCGAAGACTATTGTTTGTAATATCTGAATGAGGTGTTTTGAATTAAATTGATTATTTTACGACACTCTAAAAAATGCAATTTTGGTCTTTAGCATCAGGCATCAAAGTTCTTCTTTCATATTTCAAATCTCTTCTTTCATTACTCAAATTTTGTTAAATATTTTCCAAAATTACAATCTAACAAAACTTGTTAATAGCTTACACATTGTTCTCTCAGCATGTGTCAAACTTTGTTATTTGACATCTTTCTTTTGTCATGTGACAGTTTTCTTTCATTGTAATTAGCCGATATTTTAGTTTGTGTAAGATTAAACAAATTTTGATTTATGATCAATAAAACGTTGAACCATCTGCCGGGCTGGCACGGCTCGCACGGCTGGCTGGAGGGGGAGAATCAGCTGACTCTCTAATTAGTGACAGTTTAGTCTGTTAGCCGGACAGCGCTTATACCTACGTCAATTCGATCTGGAAATTTGGAGATATCAAAAAGATTTAAAGGGAAACCTCCAAGAAACTGGAAGAACAAAATTAAAACTTGTTTAAGCCTTTGTATACTCTCTCAAACTAATGCTTGCATTTTCAATGCTTTGCTTGAAAGAGAGTATCAATGCAAAACCAAATCTTCCATAATTCAGACTGCAGAATCTACTTCTACAAGAATCAAATGTTGTCTAAATTGGTGATTAATTTATGTCCAGTTCTTTAAGCTTTGAATTGTAATAAAGTGTATTATAAACAGCAAAACTTATGCTGCATGTTACTTTAAAGACTTGTATTAAGATCTTATATTTCTGCCTCATGTATTTGTATTATAAAAAAATGTGATAAACTTTAAACTTATGATGTTTAAATTTTTGTTCTTATCAAGTGCATTTTTGCAGATTTATGCGTTTTAAAAACTAATAAATTGTATAAAAAAATTGAAATTTTACATAAAAGCCGGATATTTATGTAAGAAACTTTGAATCTAGTTAAAACAAATATTGAGAGAATAGGTGGCGCCACCTGTAAGAACCTCTTTTGACGGGTCTAGATTCAAAGCTGAATAATCATATAACAAATGATTACATAGTTGCGCAGTAAGTTGAAGGGACATCCAACAAATTTTGACGCATGCTAATTTTTAAACCGCGCAGTGTCGCTGGTTGAATTGACATGAAACAAACTTTGTGAGATGATAATTATATGGAGGTGCGGCGAGTGCGGCACAGCGAGCGGACAAACACCGGTTGATAGATCATGTAACAAACTTTGAATTAAGGCGACTGAAAATACATTCAACAAAATTTGACGAATGATTCTACTAAGGTGTATTTGAGTCCGGTGCTCCAACAAATTTTGTTAGATGAAAATTTGACATTTCTTAGAGTGGATCCAAGTTCAATGTTGCAACTTTCCGAATTTGTATGGACGCTACATTCTTCAGCCTGAGTCGTTTTTAACAATTTTTTCCTTATAAACGCAACATATAGAAGTAAGATTAATAGCGATCAAAAGCGTTTTTTTTCGCCGTAAGCTTATACCCCTTTTCATTTTTCGTGAACCCTCTCTTAAAGTGTATAGTTTAAAGTGACCCTCCATGCAAATGGCAATGCCAGATTCACAACGAGGGAGATTAAAATATAAACTCTAGTTTACGGGATAAATGAAGAGTCATCTAAAAGTACGTCTATATAATCCCTTCAAGAACTGTGCTACAGAGAACAACAAAAGAGGGAGATTAAAATATAAACTCTAGTTTACGGGATAAATAACTTTCTGTTTGTCTTCTTTAGATAAGATTCATTCTACAACAACTTGATAAATTAAACTTGATACTCTCACCAGAGGGTGTCAACAATATTTTATTCCCCTATGTTAGTTGTTGTGGCAAAATGTATATATACCCCACATACATCCATATTCTGGTCAGCCAGGACAATAATCTGGTCAGCCGGGACAATAATCTGATCAGCTGGGACAATAATTTGGTCAGCTGGGACAATAATTTGATCAGCTGGGACAATAATCTGATCAGCTGGGACAATAATCTGATCAGCTGGGACAATAATTTGGTCAGCTGGGACAATAATTTGATCAGCTGGGACAATAATCTGATCAGCCGGGACACTCGTGCCCCCCTGAGAGGGGACCCATATAAAAATACTTTAAAATCTCACTTTTGTCCTTAACTAAAAAATCTCATTGAAAAAGCTTTAATCAATACTGCCTTCAGTGTAAATATATCTTTGACATCATTATATAAATTATAAAATATGTTTCGTTTCTATGAAAATATAGATATTTTTAAAGACACGTTTCCATCTCTATTTTTCACCTATTGAAGCTTACATCACAATATTAAGAGGAAGTGTCTGATGAGTCCACTTAAGAAAATTGCATAAATAATTTATTAACACTTGTTATATGGAAGTGTGTATATGATCGAATAGCTTACATACAGGGTGTCTCGAGAAACATGACAGTTGGTAAATAGTTTAGAAGGTACCAGTACAAACGTCGGACGGTACAAACCTAAGGGATAAAGAGGTGTTTTCTTTCTTAGTCTCAACGCGGACTAAACATGCATCTAAATAAACGTGTGCGGTGTCTTAACTTTAAACTCTGTCGCGCTTAGGTCTATATATATTTCAGCAATTGGTTTTTAAAAACAAAAAGATACGAAAGAGAACATGCTATGTATGTGTGTGTGATATGTCAAATTGGGATCGAAAGTTGCAGCTGGCTTGATCGAAGTGTTAAATAAGTGTACTCATACAATTGAATTTATTTATTGTAAGTATTAGCAGAGAAAGGCAGGAGATGATTTAATTCAACCCTATTTCCTTACAGCAATTCATAATGATATGATATGTAACTTCAGTATATATTTACAGTTACTGCTTATCTTTGCAAATGTAAAAACCAATTTGCAAAAATAACACCTTTTTTGCAAATCTAAAACTCGAAGGTTTAAACAATAATCTTGAGATAAATTGTATTTGGTTATGTTAAAAAGCTTATAATAAAGTGATAAAAATGTAAAATATGTAATAATCAGATAATTTATGTTTTAGCTCCAAGAGCTTTCCAAAAATGTATAACTTGTCGTATTTAGCTTTAAACTGCGGAATTATGAGGGGGAGGGGTAAATAAATGGGTGGGGGGTGTTCAAGTACCCCAACAGGGATATATATGGTTAACCTTGGAATCGTTATATGAAGGTTATAGTTCCTAGTTATATAATATATATATATAGTGATATTTAGTGAAAAAATATCTAAAATTAAAGTAATGCAGATATTTCAAAACTGCGTGTTAATATTTAATTTTGTTTTCCAGTTGAATTCCCAGCTGAGTTTAAAGTTTAGAATTCTAATCTAATCTATTTTATTCTATTCTATTCTATTCTATTCTATTCTATTCTATTCTATTCTATTCTATCCAGAATATTTCATTGATTTTTTATGTGAAAGACGGATCCCATGTCAGGCTTCGGCATCCTTCTTGTGTTTACATTACCGCCCAGAGACAGTACACTGCAGTACAAAAGATGCGTACACCTCTGAAATAACTTTCCTTGCATTAAAACCTTGATTAAACCAGTGTAAATTGCACGAAGTTTTGAAATCTTGAAATTGAGTCTTTTCCCAAACTCAAATTGTCTAATGTTTATACAGGGTTACCCATGAAGAATGAGACTTCAGAGACAACTGTACAGTTTTTTTAGTAAATTCTTTCGTACGTTCTTGGTTCCTTGTCGCCTTTTCAATTCTGTACCAGACAATTTAAAAACATCTTTTCAACCTAGAGATGTAAATTTAGATATTTCAAACATAGAATATTTGATTTAAAAATTCACAGTTTGACATATCTAAGGTCTTCGACAATTGGGTTGCAAAGATATTGAGAATAGAAAATTTCGTTTTTCAATTCGTGTGCGGATAATCAAAACTAGAGGAGCTACGAGGTCACAAAGTCGTTCCAGCAATGCACTTAAATTTGACCTTCTTGTTCTGTCTAGTTTGCAGTTTTGTTTGGGAGGATAACATCGAGCGCACCTTTTTATCATAAATTCAAATCAAGAAGAACAATGTGTCTAAAAGATGTATAAATATTCAAATCAAGAACAACAATGTGTCTAAAAGATGTATAAATATTCAAATCAAGAACAACAATGTGTCTAAAAGATGTATAAATATTCAAATCAAGAAGAACAATGTGTCTAAAAGATGTATAAATATTCAAATCAAGAACAACAATGTGTCTAAAAGATGTATAAATATTCAAAGCATGAGCCGAGAGCTTAAACTGTTTTAACCAACTTTACTGCGAGCTAGACATTTTATGCGACATTACTGTTAAGACTTTGTTACCTCGTGGTTCCTCTGGATTTTACGCCCAAAGAAATAAATCCGGTTACATCTTAGAAATTCAAGACAATTTTGTTTCTTGCAATAGCTCTTTAATAAGAGAAGTTATGAATAACATAAAGATTTCGATCCTATATAAAATTTATTTTAGTTTAAATAATATTATTTTCTAGGTTTCTCTGCATATCGCCTTTGTTCATGCTTTTGTGAACCCTCTCCTCTTCCTCTCCTTACATCAGGTCATATTTGATTTTTATATTATTTTCTAAATTTTTCAAAATCTTTTTACTTTGTTTGATTACTCGCCGGCCACAAACTTTAATTTCCTATTTTCGATATTATGGCAACCTTCTGTGGAAACCTTTTTAGTGTATCTACTATCTATATATAGATTTAGCTTGTCTGGGTGTCTGTTCGTTTTTTTGTCTTTTTGTTTGTATCCAATAAACGTCAAAACGGCTGAACCGATCAGGCCCAAATGTTGTGCGGGACCTCACGTGGCCCCAGGGAAGGTTTATGGCCAATCAGACTTTAAATATGTAATCTTAAAATATTTTTATCTTAAATTATATAATTTTGTAAGATTTTGAAAATGCGCGAAAAAATATTATAAAATCCCCAAATTAAAAAAAAAAAGTATACTGTGCAAAGAGAAGATGCTCACAGATAAAGCCACACTTAAAAGTTGAAAAAGAAGATGGGCGCAAAGAGCCCTCAAAGCCTAGTTTATCAAACTTTATCTTTAAGAATTGATAATCTGAAATATATTTAACAAAAGCTAAGGTTGAAACGTTGGTAGGATTAGAAAATTAAGACTTACTTTGAGTAATTAGTTCATGTACTTGAAATTTAGCTTTATTTTAAACTTTTTAATTTCGGTTTTTTACGAAAAATATAATTTCATGTAAGTTGCTGTAATAAGTATTCAAGATAAGACTCCAGTTGTTTGGATTTAAAATTTAAAAATTAAATAATATGGCTAGAAAGTTATTGATAAGGGCTGGTAAACAATACCTAATTAAGGGCTTGTAAGATTTGCATAGATGGTTTTGGTAAGAGTAGGTACAAAATTGTTTTTATGTCACTTTGCCTTATATTTCATTCCTAACTTTGCAGTATGCCCATTTCTAAATACTTTGTTTATGTACTTGAATATTATTTCTCTCAATCTCTCATTGTTTTTAGAAAATAACTATTGTGTTTTGTTTTTCTACGTTAAACCTATTTTCAAACTTAAAGTCCTCACTCCTCATGCATTTAAAATGAACTTTAGATTTTTTGCAAATACAAGAAAACTCTTTCTAAATCTTTGTTGAAAATTGCTGAAGGTTTTAAATAACAATGCATGCGGGAATTAATGCGTAATGTTTACAATTTTTCTTTAATTTTTTTCTTTATTTCTTAGAAGATGGATTTTTGGTATTTTTGTATAGATTGACAGTTTTCAACTACTATTCTAAAAGCTAAACTCTATATAAACTCTACTAAAGGGACTGTAGACAGTTTTCAACTACTATTCTAAAATCTAAAAACTCTACTAAAGGGACTGTAGACAGTTTTCAACTACTATTCTAAAATCTAAACTCTATATAAACTCTACTAAAGGGACTGTAGACAGTTTTCAACTAATATTCTAAAATCTAAACTCTATATAAACTCTACTATAGAGACTGTAGACAGTTTTCAACTAATATTCTAAAATCTAAACTCTATATAAACTCTACTAAAGGGACTGTAGACAGTTTTCAACTACTTTTCTAAAATCTAAACTCTATATAAACTCTACTAAAGGGACTGTAGACAGTTATCAACTACTATTCTAAAATCTAAGCTATATATAAACTCTACTAAAGGGAGTATAGACGTAGATTTCAGTGGAACTACATTTACATTTCACAACGATACCCTGACATATTTTTTATGCAAATCAAGTATAATTAAACACTTTAAAAGCTAGAAAAACGAAAATATCTTGAAACTACAAGGACAGTCCCTTTCATCCAAACTCGAGACAAACTTTAGCAAAGTACATATTTAACTTGAACTCTTGTGCACGCCAATTTAAACTCTATTTCAAACAATATATTTGCAAACAATGCTTTTCAGATCACATGATATAACTACTCTAATTGGGGCAAACTAGTATATTTTGAACAATTTAAGATAAAATGCTTAAATTTCAAAAATGTTGCTATTTAAAGGGAGAGGTCCCAAAATTAAACGGGTATGTGATGAATATAATTACCGGTTGATTCAAAATGTATATAATGAGCTTTCCCTTTATGGTGTAAACAGGAACCCAAATGTTATCGATAACTTAAATCAATTAAAATAGATGTAAATATAAATATTTTTCTTTTTCCGATCCTTAGAATATCGTTCAACTCTGAAGGGACTGTACGCGTAGTCTCAACTTTCAAGACATCCTGTATTGATAGATGGCAATTCCCGATTTACATTTCTTCTAGAAATTACAGTAAACTTTTGTATACAAAGATATTTTGGTTATTGGCCTATCTTAATAGGGTAAACAGTGATTTCATAGCCCGGTAGTATTCCAGTCGTTTTTTATAATCTTTGTTTACAATCTTTGTTTATAATCTTTGCTATTGTTTTGAAGAATACACATATTGGATTAACCCTATCCCCTGCCTTAGTTCTACTCATATTAGATAAACTCTATCCCCTACCTTAGTTCTGCTTATATTGGTTCAAGCCTATACCCTACCTTTATTAGTTCTACACATAATGGATAAACCTCATTCACTACCTTAGTTCTACACACATTGGTTAAACCCTATCCCATACCTTAGTTCTATACATTGGATAAACCCTATACCCTACCTTAGTTTTACACACATTGAATAAACCCTATCCCATACCTTAGTTCTACACACATTGGTTAAACCCTATTTAGTATTCTAAACTGAGGTTTAAATGTTTATAGAATGAGTGCAAACAAGATGTAACATCAAGGTGTGATTATCCTGCGGTCAGCTTGTTCTTAATGTTTTTAATGTATAAAGAGATACCGGGTGTTCCCCTAAAAAAGGGGAATAAAAAGATAATTAAGATTTACTTTAAAAAACATTTCTGGATGAAAACAGGCACATAACCTATTCTTTCCAGATTATTTGATAAAATACTTTGTTGTCTTCAAATTGTCATGTTTTGTGGGATACACTATGTCAATAAAACTTTTTATGGAAATGGTTTCAACTTCCGTGCAGCAATTTGTCTGAAATAAAATGGTAGAATTTTATAAAATTACAATAATTGAGAAGTTAAAAGTTGGCTTCCATTGTTAAAATATACAAATATATTTGAATATCATGTAGATATATCGTTATCTCTACTGGAAGATAGAAAGATACAGATTAAGGAAATTGGAGAATATTACCAGTTTCTTACATTACATATTTTTATCTTAAAGGGACTGTAAAGGAAAGGGGGTATAAAACATACATATATATACATTTTATACATACATATAAAACATTTATCTGATGTTACTGTCTCAAGAAATTTGACACAATTTTATATCAATTTTTCGAGAAAGGCACATCATCAGATAGATGTTTTATATGTATCGTTCAACGCCTGAGATTCTCAGGTTTCATTCTATACCCCCTTTCATTTTTCCTTGACAGTCCCTTTAAGGCATACAAATTCTAAGGCATCATAGGATATGAACTTTTACAGATATTAACATCAATCATTGTGAAATATTATTTCATGAATTTATATCAATAATTCTGTTTTATTTCTCTAGGACAAAAACTTACAAAAATGTATAGACCCAAAAAAGTAAACGGGGGGGGGGGGTCACTACCTTTTAGTCGCTCGATTTTCTCTTAATTTTACAAATGCAAGAAATAACGAAAAAAATAGGTTACCCTTTCCGTTCTTGTTATAACTTTCTGAAAGCAATGCATAAAAACCTTAAAACGTTACAGGGTTACCCACAAAAATTGAGACTTCAGAGACGACTTTACGGAATTTAAACTGTTTGTTTCCTTATATTTATGATGCCTTGCGACTGTAAACTTTCTTTGTCAATCCATTAAACAAGCCATTAAAAGGGACTAATTAAGACAAAAGACTTAAATTAACCTATAATGTGTCCTGCTATAAGAGTTTCAGATCGTCTTTGCTGTTTCATTCTGTGTGGGTAACCCTGTATGTTACCGACGACTACGATGACGATGTAAGTGTTAAATATTCCTTAAAGGGAGTGTTCACGAAAAATGAAAGGGGCGAAAAATAAGCGCTTTTGATCCCTACTAATCTTTTTGATAATATAATATTTTTGATTTTTTTATAATTTTCGCTGGCGCTGGATTTTCGAACATTCCTGGAAAATATGAAAATGTCGTCTTCATTATCAAAAATCCTCGAAACAGGAATAAATGTTTTCTAAAAGTAACTCTCAGATCATGAAAAATACAAAATATTATGAAATATCAACTATTTACGAATGCGTCGAAAAATAATCGATAACTATTGTTTGTAATATCTGAATGATTTGTTTGGAATTAAATTGATTTGTTTACGATCCGAGTTGAATGTTGCATCTTTCTGAATTTGTATGGACACTACGTTCTTCGGTATAAGTCGTTTTTAACAATTTTCTCCCTATACCCTCTTTAATTTTTCGTGAACACTCCCTTTAAGGCACCGTAAACGTCTCCATTAATAATTAGGCATGTCATATTCACAAACAGTATCCTTTAAACCTTTGTCTGAGATAAATTGATAGAGTTGCGGATTATTACAGTAGAAGAGAAAGAATGAAATTGTTAGAATTCAACAGTTTTCCAGAAATACCACGATATCTTCCTCATTGTTGTTCAGTTAAAGGTTTAAATTGGGTACCGTTGTGAACCGGACATGAAACTCTTTTTAAACTAAGGTTCTCTTTTATTTTCGTTTACATTATGCTTCATATTCTGTATTTTAAGTTATAAGTCCCATTCATGTCAAACCAAGTAAATGTATTTCTTTTAGAATTTAGTTTTGGAAATATATTGGCCACAGAATTTTTTTCCCACAGTAAATTCCTCTTTCAATATTTTTACCCTTGTTAGCAAACTGGTCAGTCGATATGTATTTAAAGATATTATAAAGAACTAATTACAAATAATCATCAGTTTTGAGAGTCGTATGCCAGATTCACAACTGCACCCCTTAAACCTCTGTCTGGTTATAGTGACAATAACACGCACCTCCGACCCTTTAGTAAAAGTAAATTCAACCTAAAGTCTGACAGCGTCAACCTTGTTGCACCGGCTAGGCCTATTGAGCGTCTGCTTTATTCACCCAATTTCCGGGCGACACAGTACAAACTGGAACCGGAAAGGTTGACCCAGCTCGGAAATTCAAATGTACTACGGCTGCCCGTGATAATAGTCTTTTTGTTCTGCCTAAAAACTTGCAATGTATAAAAGATTAATTGCAAGTGTAAACTGTGAATATAAGGTAGGAAATTACCGCTACGACTTTATGACCTCGAAGCCCCTGTAGTTTCCATCTATGCACAAGTAATAGAAAAGCAAACCTAAATTCAAACCATTTATGTTCTTCTCGATACATGTTGCATTTAAGGAGTTATGATTATAAAACTAAAAATATTTTACTTTTACTCGAAATTTACTTCAGTGGAAATTGAAATTTTCTATATGCGCCCCTCTAAAGAGAAAAAGTTAATTTTACAGTAACTGTTCCAAACTGTTTATAATATTCTAAAGTCTGTTCCAAACTAATTATAAACATTCTTAAGTTTGTTCTAAACTGTTTATAAATTTTCTAAAGTTTGTTCCAAACTTTTTATAAATATTCTAAAGTCTGCTCCAAACTGTTTATAAACATTCTTAAGTTTGTTCTAAACTGTTTATAAATATTCTAAAGTCTGTTCCAAACTGTTTATAAATATTCTAAAGTCTGTTCCAAACTATTTATAAATATTCTAAAGTCTGTTCCAAACTATTTATAAATATTCAAAAGTCTGTTCCAAACTATTTATAAATATTCTCAAGTCTGTTCCAAACTGTTTATAAATATTCTCAAGTCTGTTCCAAACTGTTTATAAATATTCTAAAGTCTGTTCCAAACTGTTTATAAATATTCTAAAGTCTGTTCCAAACTGTTTATAAATATTCATAAAGTCTGGATTGCTTCGCGTCCAACTTCAATTTCAACTTTTAATAGTTGTCCAATCTTTAATTTTTGATGAAATAATAGTATTACAATTTTGTATTTCATTGATTTTCAAAACTTTACGGTAAAAAAATTTAACAACTTTTTGTAATTCTGAGCATCGCTAAACTCTTCGTGGGGTCATTTGAGGTTCTGCACAAAAGGAATTGAGTCTTTTCCACAAACTCTGATTTTCCAACCTCTATATCTTTGCAACCCAATCTCGTAGACCTTAGATATTTCAAATTATGAATTCTAAGAGATCAAAGCAAAGTACACAAATATAAATATATAGATGAAATATTTCAGGGTTTAAGAAAAGCAGTTTTTGATATCATCTGCTGTGGCTGCTTGTATTCAGAAGGTGAGAAAAAGAATTCTAGCTGAACTAAAAAGAACTGTCTAGATTTTGCGTAATTTCCGATCATAAAAACGTGTTCTGATTCACAACGGTACCCTCTAAACCTGTGTCCAGCTGAGTCACTTTGAGTAAGATAGCGTCGTTTTTTATCTTGAAAAGAGAGGAACTCTGTCTTTTCTATTCATTGTCTCTACTGCATAAATCAATTAGAATTTGTATGCCCGGCTGGAACGATTGGGCTGACATTTTTTGTGAACACTCATGGGTGGCTGGGGGGGTGTTATAGGCTAAAAAAATTCGAAATTTTTATTTTTCAAGAAAAAAATTTAAATTTTTTCACGGGCAACGCCGGCCCTTTAACTTTTTATTATTATTATTTTTATTATTATTATTTCATTATTATTATTTGCAGACACTGAGTCCAGGCAGGAGCATGGAAACTCGATAACTAAACACATGTAGGTCAGATTGATACAACCACAACAAACCAAGAAATAAACTAATTTCTACCCAAACCAAAACAATCTGGTTTACAGCAACCCAAAAAATAATTAAACAAAACCAACCAGATTATGAAAATAAAGTTTGTTTCCGCTGTGACGAAAATTGTCTTACAATTTGAAGCAAAAACATGCGGGCATTTTACAACCCTTTACCATGATTTTTTCTTATAAATTTCTAATTTTAATATTTTTCTAAGATAATGTATAAATACAAAACGTTGGAACGTTTCTTAACACAAAAAAGATAAATTTTATTGTTTATCTTTCTTTGCATTTCTATTAAGTCTTAAATTGTTAAAGATAATTGAACTCATATAAAACATTTATATTTAGTTCGTATTCAATCCTTTCACAGCACTATTTTCAAATCTTCCTTAACCTCGCGGCATTCAAAATACACATTCTATTAATTCTGGGAATTCAAAATTTATGTCTGCCTATTTTTTTTCTTAATAAAGATTTCTTTCCAAAGTTCAAACTTATTGAATATCTACTGCATATTTTAGGACTCATCATGCAAGTTTTTTTGGTTTTAAAGGTGCTTCTAAAGAGTCTGAGATTTTTAACACATACAAAATTCTATACGTTTTCTTTTATTACATTATGCAAGCATTTTATTTCTCTGACTAAACATACATCCAAAACTATTTTTCAAACCGATTTATTAAGCGATTTTACCAATCGTTTTGAAAAATCGTTTTGAAAAATCGTTTTGGAGTATATCTTTTGCCTGGGTAAAAATTGTATGTAACGTAATAAAAGCAAACTTACGAGTATACAATTTAGAAATGTTGCAAACATCTCAGATTCTTTTAGACACTCTTAAAGTCAAAAAACCTTGTATGGTTAAAAACCGGTCCTTAAACCTTGAATGTTAAAAAACCGGTTCTTAAAACCTTGAATGTTAGAAAGCGGTCCTTAAAACCTGGAATGTTTAAAGAACGGTCCTTACCTTGAATGTTAAAAACCGGTACTTAAACCTTGCATGTAAAAAAATGGTCCTTAAACCTTGAATGTTAAAAACCGGTCCTTGAACCTTGCATGTAAAAAACCGGTCCTTAAACCTTGCATCTAAAAAAAACGGTCCTTAAATCTTGAATGTTAAAAACCGGTCCTTAAACCTTGCATGTAAAAAAATGGTCCTTAAACCTTGAATGTTAAAAACCGGTCCTTGAACCTAAAAACCGGTCCTTAAACCTTGCATCTAAAAAAAACGGTCCTTAAATCTTGAATGTTAAAAACCGGTCCTTAAACCTTGCATGCTAAAAAAACGGTCTTTAAACCTTAAATGTTAAAAAATGGTTCTTAAACCTTAAAGGTTAAAAATGGTGCTTAAACCTTGAATCTTAAAAACCGGTCCTTCACATTGAATGTTAAAAAACGGTCCTTTAGCCTTGAATGTTGAAAACGGCGCTTAAACCTTGAATGTTAAAAAACGGTCCTTAAACCTTGAATGTTAAAAACGGTCCTTAAACCTTGAATGTTAGAAAACGGTCCTTAAACCTTGTATGTTAAAAAACGGTCCTTAAATATTGAATGTTAAAAAACGGTCTTTAAACCTTGATTGTTAAAAAACGGTCCTTAACCTTGAATGTTAAAAAACGATGGCTTTCATTAATTACACATATTGTTCAGGTACAGAAACGGGTACACACATCAACAGAACGGGAGAAAGGAGACATCAATCTGAGAGCAAATAAACAATGTTTGGAACAAAATAATGATTGAAAACAAAATAATGATTAAAAAACAAAATAATGATTGAAAACAAAATAATTATTAAAAACAAAATAATGATTGAAAACAAAATAATGATTGAAAATCCCCAAAATGTTACTGCAAACATATGGTAGCAAGGAAGATATCCTAAAAACCGCGTGGATCAAAGACTTTTTAGAAGTCGTCACTTAATTTTTATGTTTTCTGGAACACTCTGTAGAATAAGCTCTATTTTTTGCATGATTTCAATTTAAAGTTTAACCTAAAGTCGAAATTGAGCGAATGGGATTTTTTGAGTCAGTAGAAAATAGTTTGTATGATTTTTTAAACTTCAGAATATTTTAAATCTAAAAAATCATCAATAAGAGAATTTTCAAAAACCAATGCATTTATCTCATCTTAAATATCAACTGAACTGTTTAGTCTAGATTCTACATTTATATTTTTATACTTTAGAATTTGGAAAATTATAAGATAAAAATATTTGTTTGTTTTTCAAATCATATTGGGAACAAAGGCAAAACATCTAAATTGATAAAGAATGGTTTTAAAGAGCTTTTTGTAAGTATTTTAAATAATTTGGAAATACTAAATTCAATTCTAACTTTTTCTGCAACACAATGCTTCTGTAAAATTTAAATTCTGTCTCAAACATTTCTCATGAATTTAAACAAAACCTGGCGAAAAATAGTTTTTTCCCTTTTTCCAAAGGACCTCAGAAAACTTAATTTAAATCGATATAAACTATAAAAATTAGAATAACATTTTTTCTGTAAGGTTTGTAGTTTTAGTCTTGGATCGAAAGTTGTGTGTAAAACAACAGATTTAGATATTATGAAGCACTTTCTTCCATCTCCAATAATTAAACTCATTTAAATAACTGCGTAATAAATACTTTTGTGAAAAAGACGACTTCTTATCACCGTCAATCAAATCACAGGCAAAATGTATGCGACATTACTGGTACCACCTTTGTAACCTCGTTGCTCCTCTGATTTTGATTTTAAGTTTGAGAAAATCAAGTTAATTCAAAACTAAATAGATCTTAAATAAGAGGAGTCATTATTTTAATATACGTGCAATTTACTTTAGTTTAACATGATATGAATATTGTAATTATATCATAAGTATGTATGTAATTATGTACAATAGATATACATATATTTATATATACATATAAGGTTAATTGGCAAGAGCGAATGAAATGTCGTCTTGAAATTTATTTATTAGTCTATGACAACTGGTATGCTTCTTATCATTGGTTCTTCACATGATAAAAGCTGCTCATATGTTTGCAGCTTCAAAGGGTTTAATATGATTTATGAAACTTATCCAATTATCCTTGTTGAGAGTAAAAAAAATTTGATAATTCTGAAGAAAGTACTTTTATTTTTATTTCAAGGTAAATTAAGCCAAATATGCAGGACAGCATTTGATATATTAAACTCGTTTTTCCCCTGCATTTGATCTTAAATAGGTTGAGAATACGACATTATGTATCTATTTATTTGGGATTGACTGTATATAAAGAAATATTGTCAAATTATATTGGAATTCGGTGTCTGGTCAAGCATATGTTTCCATTCTCTATGGTCATCTGAGTAAAAAAAAACTTAAATTTTTAAAAAAATTTATTTTGAATGGGGATTCCGGTTTTGGTCATTTACATATACAAATCAAGAAGAACCTTTTGGATCTGAGGTCCCTGACCACCATGTGAGATGTTACCGCTTTTCTCGGGCTATGGGGGTCTACATGGGGGGTCATTGACCACAGGTCTAAAATTTAGTTACCAGCATTTGTTATATTCTAACTCAGGGTACCATATTGATGATACAAAATGTGAAAAACGTGAAATATATTGTTTTAATTTGGTACTCAATATTTAACAAGTATGTAAACTTATATCTTGTTTTATGTTAAATGCATGAAAATGTATGAAAATCTAAGAAAAGGTATGGAAATGTAAGAAAATGCAGGAAAATGTAAGAATGTGAAAGAAAATGTTTTAAGAGGTAAAAATTGTAATTGAAATTGTATGAAAATGTAACAAAAATTATGAAAATGTAAGAAAATGTATGAAAATGTTTAAAAATTTAAGAAATTGTATAAAAAATATTAGACATTGCATGAAAATGCATGGAATTAATACTAAATGTAATATTAACTGTTCTCAGTAAACCTACCCTGTAACCTTAAATCATATGAAAATTATTAATGTATCAATGTTGAAATAAATATGGCATCGATATTTTAAACCTTCTGAAAATAATCTCTATGTCTAGGACTGATTTTTCAATGATCTATTTACACAAGAAACAAATAACTAATCATATATTTCTTTGTTATTGCAGACAAATCTATAAGGAATTGATTCTTTGTCACAAACTCTGATTTTCTAATCTCTATAGCGTTGCAGCCCAATGTTGTAGACCTTTGATATTTCAAGCTATGAACAGTGTTAAATCTAGGTTTGAAATATCAAAGTTTTGCAGGTTGCAAAGATATTTGAATTAAAACATTTGAGTTTGGTGCAAAGACTAAATTTCTTTTTCACTTGTATTTATTTTTATCAAAGTCTGTAATCTCATCTTTTATACATCCTTAACTCGGTTTCGTTTTCTGAAAACATTAAAAGTTTCAGTCTCCTTCCAGTTTTTTTGTTTTGTTTCATGCCTCGTTACATTTCCTTTTATCATGTTTTATGTAGATAAACCTTAAATTTATTATTTAATATTCTGACAGTATAGTTCATCCCCCCTGCAATATCTCCTCCCCCTAATTATTAAATGATTATATGGAGCTCTTTAAAACTGTTCCTGCATATTCATGGCTATTTATCTATTTTGGCAAATACTGAGATTTACGTAAGATAGTATAAAACCCATTTGATAACTCCTTTCGATGTATGGCTCATTTAGGGTTTAACTGTAAGTAAAAATGCATCTAATTCTGAACTGTATTATAATGGGGCTGGGAATATAAAAACATTAACAAATATTCTAAACTGTATTATAATGGGGCTGGGAATATGTCAAAAAATTATTTAAATTTAAATTTATAGATTTATGTATCTAAAACGGCTGAACCAATCTAGCCAAAAGGAAAGGTTTATTGGCTGTTAAATTTGTAAACAAAGAAACAAATTAACTCTGTGACCTTTACTGTGGCAAAACGTTGTGTTTTTTTATGCTAACTATAATGGAGTGTCTGTAGTCTGTACGTTTACTAATTATTCTTCTTCTAGAAAAATTTTAATTAACTGAAAATAGAAAGTAATTTGAATTCAAGAATTAGCATGATCACTGTAGTGTATACAAATTACAGACAACGCTGAAAATATATATTTCTACTAGCTAAAGTTTTCTGTTCATATAGGGAATACATATATTTTATTCTATTGACTAGATAAAGGGCCCGGCGTTGCCTGTGAAAAAAAAATTGAAAAAAAAGGTTGAAAAAAATAATTTAAAAATTTTAGCCTATAGCACCCCCAGCCACCCATGAGTTTTAAATAAACTTTATAATGAATTAGGTGAATAAAAAACATCATTTGATTTATAGTTATAACGGAAAATCATCGTTTGTAAAGTGAAAGGCATAGAGTCTATGTGAAATGATCATTGGTCAATTATGAAACCAGCCTATTCCATAATTTGGTTTTCTTTTAACATTAATTTTAGATTTTCTATAAAATGATATTCCAGGGCCCAAAAGGTTATATAGCATAAATTTATGTGAAGTACTTCTGCAGTATGAAAACAGTGCAACAAAATGGCCGTTTTACACTTTTTTCTAGTAAATTCCCCTCAAATATATATTCTATTCTCTTTGGCTAAATATAAGGGTTAGGTTCTATTGTTTCTTAAAAAACAACTACTGTAAACCAATTAAATGTCATAACAGTCCTAAGGCATTATTTGATAACATTTACTGCAGACTTCCACTTTGGGTTTTTTGAGGATTTTCTGTTATTTCTCATTCAATTGTTGATGAATTTTTATGAAATTTTGGAAAACATAAGAATTAACATTTTTCAAACAATTTTTCGAAAACTAAAATAAAAAAAAAATTAGTTTCGTGAAATTTTTTACTTAAATTTTCCAAATAAATTTTAGAATTTTTTATCACATTTTATTTTTTTAATTTCTAAAATCCAAAGCAAACTAGAATTTTAAAAATGTTGTCCAAAACGGCGACAATGTACATTATTGAAGCTCCTTATATTATGAATTTGTTAGTGTAAATTTCCCACATTTTCTAAATATATGTTTGCAAACTGAGATTTGCACAAATACCAGTTGTTTGCTTAGTGGGATAAAAATAGAATGCAAAATAGTTTTCATTTATGACATACATTTGAGGAATCCCGAACAATATGTTCATAAAAGCGAAAATATCAAAAGCATTTTAAATATTCGAACTTGTTGTTCGAAATTACTAACATAACGATGGATAAACATAATTTGTGAGATCCCTACCTCACATTGTTTTCATGATTTTTTTTGTAATTTCGAAATGCGTTCGTTTGTTACAATTACGCAAAAGTGTTTTTATAAGCAGACTGAATACATGTGTGTGCACCCCTATACCTTATTTTCTGCAAGAATTTAAACTTTATTCTCTTAATTGATTTCTTCGAAATATTTTATTTCCTTCATGTTTGCCTAATAAATTTCAAAGATTTCAGATTCATTTTTCATTTTGCATTTGTGCAGTTTTATGCATAGCTCCTTAAAGGAACTGTTTGCGTCATTTCAGTTGAGCCTCCAGGCAAAGATGGAAATATATTATTTACACCAATATCCTTGAAACCTTAATCTGATCAAAAATGTGGAAGATGTTGTTGTTTTTCTGACTCAAAACGTGTATTTCTCCATTGCTTCATAGAAACAATAAAAGTCATTTTCGCAGAGAAACCGAAAATGAAAATAAATAGTTTCATGAAACTAAAATATGGATATCTAATTCATACTTGGTCA